TATAATATTATGATTTATTTTGTATTTTTAATTAAATTAAATTGTTAAAGTTATTTTTAATTAGGAATAAAAACATAAATATTAAAAGTAATTAATTATTAAAATGTGTAAAATAGAAATGGTTATGGATAAAAACAGGATTATAAAAAGTAAATATTGATTAAAATGCATAAACTATAAATAATTTGGATAAAAATAGAATTATCGAAAGTAAAGAATGATTATATCGAATAAATGAAAGATATGAGAATAAAATCTAATACATCATCTGTATAAAAATGTTAAAACAATCATAATTGTAATATTATTATTTTATTATTGCTAACTTTAATATGATATAAAATATATAATTTTTAAAAATATCTTAATTCAATATATATACGTAATACCTAAAGTAGTTTCTAACGTTTAATTGAATAGTCATTTTGATTTTTATTATCTTTTTAAATCATTTTAGACCTCAATATTTCAATTTTAATTAGAATGACCCTTTTTAAATAAAATCATTAGTTAATTAACTATCAACACTTATTATCAATGTGTTATATTGTCACACTAGTAGAAAAATAAAGTAAACTACATATTTAGTATTTTAAACTGTTACTTTTGTTTTGTTTTGGTAATTAAATTTTATTTTTTTCAAAAGAATACATAACGTTTAGTTTATGTTTTATTTTAGTAGTTTATCGTTAAAAATTTAACATAACTGCTGATGTTGTATTTTTTAAGGGTGATGTATAATTACCTTATGGTTGCACGTCAATATCATCGTTATTTTTTAACGGAGAGATATTAAAATGAAATCTAAACTAAATGTTAGGAATGATTTTAAAGAAAATAAAGTTTAGGTGTCAAACAGAACAAAAATAATAATTTAAGTACTAAACATGTAATTTATCCAAAAAATACCATGTCAGTAAAATAATTATTATTATGCCACATTAGCTATTAATTTAATAAATTATTACTCTCCATTTCAGAAAAATAAATTAATGCTCTCTTATTAGTCAATACAAAAATATGTGGAATAGTTGGTTAAAGAGATGATTCGAATTTGTTATACTTGTCTAATCACTAAATCAAGTAGAATAATCATTAAAAGTAATATTTAATTTAAATTTAAATTAATTATATTTATTTTATAAAAATATATTGATGTTAACCTAAGTTATAAATCATACTTATATAGATGCTGGATTGTACTTAGTCCTACATTATTTATTTTGCACAAACACAAGGAATAGGATGTAAACCATAACAGGGTATATGCTATAACCAGGGGTGAGCAAATATGATATATCACATCATGTTGTTATAATTAGGAGGTAAATTTTAAATTCGAGTCGAGTTTTAAAATAAAATTTAAATAATAATTTGAAATTTTAATAATTAGTGAATTAATTTTTAAGTTCGAGTTGAATTCCTCAATTTTGTATTATAAAATTTAAATAATATAGAGAAATATATATGTATTGTAAATGTTTATAGAAAGTTTAAATTATGATCAAATAATACTATAATATTATAAATATTTGTAATTAACTTTAAATAAAATTTGAATAACTCGATCCGAAAAAAAAATTTAAACAAAACTTGATTTATAAAATAAGATTTATCAATCTGAATAACTCAAAATTCGTTGACTCAACTCAATCCGTTTTCCCTTATCACCCCTCATTTTAAGCCTCACCTTCCCTTCAGTTTTCAGTCCATAGCAATATTGTGGAAACCAACCATCCGTTTGGTTCTAGAAAATATAAGTTATTTTTATTTTATAGAAAATAGAAAACGTAGAAGAAAATGTATTCGATTATAAAATTAGAAAATGATTTCTAAAAAATAAAAATAAAAATAAATTAAAATATGTAAACATAAAAAATATGTTTTCAATATTTTAATTTAAATTATTTTCAAATTTTAAAAAATAAGAAAATAAAAGATCTAGATTTTTAACTTAACTTAAAAGTTGAAATCCTTCTAACAAGAAGTTTTTAAATTAATAGTATCTAAAGCTCTCAATTTTTTTTGTAAAAAAGTCAATGACACTCAATATGATCCTTAAACTGATTTTTTAATAATTTAATTTTGTAGTATTTTTATATTTAATGTATTGAATATCTTAATAATTATTTATATTTTTATTTTAAAATTAAATAATTTATTTTTTCTCAAAAATTAAATAAGTCCTCAATTTTTTTAAAAAAATTAATTAGGTCATTGAACTTAGCTAAAAAATTAATTAAATCCATTTATCAGATCATTTCCCATCGTGTATTGTCACTTCAATATTATAGATTGTCTTGTAAGATCTTGTAAATTTAAATGATTTCGTGACCATCAACATTTGAATTTGTTGATCATATGATTATATTTTTTTCTCAATTTAAGGATCACATTGAGTGTAAAAAAAGTGCAGGGGCTACACTAATTTTTTCCTCAAAAGTTTGAGGGCGTCAATAGCACTATTGACACTTTTGTGTGCTCTTGTTTGTAACAATATTTGTTTTTTGTATTTTTTAAATTTAACTGATGCATGATATGCATTAACAAAATATTCTTATTATAAACTAAAATAATTTATGTTATGAAATTTATTATCAATTTAAATTGATGTAATAAAATTTTCAATAGTTTTATTTTAATTTAATTATTTAATAATTATTTGTTCATCTCTTTTTTAGAAAATTTGATACCAAATATGTTTTCACTATTTTTATATCTGAATTCAAGTTTTCATTTATATCCACTAATCATGTTTTCTTATTTTCTAAAAAAACTGAAAATAAAAATTATTTTTTAAAAATAAAAACAAAAAAAATATTTTTTTAAAACTCGCTTATATTTTAATATTTGTTTTCTATAATTCACCCAACTTCACCTTCACCTATTGTTACCTTTATATCGCATTTGGTGAGCTTCCTCTTATTTAGCTTCTGCAAATTTTACATTTATGGTTGAAGAAAGGCATATGCATAAATAAATTGATGGTTTTCTTTCTTTTCAAAAAAAATGATTTCGTTGTATATATTAATATTTACATGCATTAGAAACATGGAGAATTTTGGTACAATTTTGAGCAATTATCAACTTTGCGTGATGTGGACCACAAGGAGTGATGAAACACAAAATCAAGAACTCGGAAACAAGTTTCTTGCTTGCCAATGAAACAAATATATATAAATTTAATATAGGATTAGGATTATGAAAATAGTTGATTAAACAGATAGAATCTGGCATTGCTTATTGATCTGTCCTTCATGCCGCCAGGAATGTGCAAGGAGACTGCACCAGCATTTGTAATGAGCTTGAAACTCAGATTTGGTAGGGAGGATGAATCGCTCTTCTTCAATGGTTGTAAGAAAGCTGGTATTCAAGTAGAGCATATTGGATCCCGAGTGAATTGCATCAAACCAGGAAAATAGTCACTACCACCGGTAGTGGTGATGATTGAAGCCGTAATGCAATTTAAGAACTGCAGTTTCTTGTTTATTGCAAGTTGGTATTGGGTTTGAAAACCCAAGGGAAGGTGGGGTTTAAAATGGGGAGTGATATAAGAAGAAACGGAGGCGACTTTGGTTGGAGATGGAGAGAACCACCGTTTGCCCTCTGTTATTATGCCACTTTATATTTGAACCCCACTCTATATTTCAAAGTGAAGGACGCAGGTGTTAGGAGACATCATCGGTCGGAGAAAGTGACCGGAGCAGCGACGAAGATGTGAGCTAAAAGAGAGGTTCAGAGAATTCATGGGTCAAATTGATATTTTGTCTAAATTTTAAAGGTCAAATTAAGAGTACATCAATTTTTAACGTGACATGCCATCAAATGGAGTTAATGGCTCAATCATCAAAATGTAATGAACTAAAAACGTGACCAAAATTGAACAGATCAAACATATAAGGGACCACTCATATTATGTACCCAAAGAAGAATTGACAGAAGAAACAACATATAATAAGCAAGAAGGGAGAAGGAAAGCATTTTCGTTATCAGGCGACAGAAACATGAGTTGTCCGTGGTTACATTGGTGTAGGCCTTGGACAAAATCCGATTTGAGAACCTGACCAATAAGAGCAAGCTCGATACTCAACCAGAGCTTTTCACTAGGCTTGTACCAGACAAGGTTATCAAGACCTTCTCCATCATTGACAGTGGTATCGGCGTGACCAAAGCAGGTAACTGCCATTTCAATTTTTCTACTTCTCTATTTTTATCTGAAGCTTTGCTTGAGCTCTGCTGTTTTTACACAGATTTGATGAATAACTTGGCTACAATTGCGTGGTCCAGAACCAGGGAGTTCATGGAGGCACTGCAGGCCGGAGCCGATGTAAGCATGATTGATCAATTCGGTGTCAGTTTCTACTAGATGAGGAAGTCATTGTGACCACAAAGCACAATGATGGTGGGCAGTATATATGGGATTCCCAAGTTGGAGGCTCCTTCACTGTGACCAGGGATGTTAATGGAGAGCAGGCTCCGCTGGATTACAAAGATTACCCTTTATCGTAAAAGATCAGGTAAACATTTGTATTTTATAACCCATTTTGAGAATTTAAAAGATTCGATCATGTACATTTGTATTCCTTACAAATATTTGGAACATTGTCCATGTAGATGGAATACTTGGAGGAAAAGTGGGATCAAGGACCTTGAGAAGAAGCACTCTGAGTGAATTAGCTTTCCAATTTACCCCTGGATTGAGAAGGCCAAGCCTAAGAACCAGAAAGCAACTAAAACAAAAACAAAGAAATGATGCACTTTGTTATATCATATTTTGGGTTTTTAGTAAACGATGGAATAATTTGAAGTCTTACGCAAGTTTATATTCCGTAGCATATTAAAATTAATAAGAATTTTAATAATTCCACTTAATCCATTTTCCAAATCTCTCAACATAGCTAATGTATGACTAGCTAGAACGTAACGAGAAACTCTTTGTTTTCCTCTCGAAAAAAGCAGAAAGGAAAATTTTAAGTAAAAAGTGGGCAGAGAAAGTTCCATTTCCACAAAACTCAACATAAAATTGTAAAAGTTCCATAAGTTCCACATTGAACCGAGGCTAAAACAGTACGCTAACAAAGACATTAGTTCTACAGTTCCTTCAATACTATGTTTCAAAACCAACAGGTCAAAAAACAAGGTTCAAGCAAAACCAGAACCGGATGGAGCTGCACTATAGCCTCCACCACCACGACCAAAGGCAGGCCTTCCACCGGAACCCTGCACACAAAAGCAAAGAAGCAGAATCATAGATGCAATGCGGCCATTAGTATGATAACAAACAATGTTTCGTCAAGCTAGAGCCTAAACTTAAGCACTAATTATAAGATACTATTGAATGCTTCCATTGCATAAACTTACCATACAGCTAAAGCAGTAAGAAAACATTAATTGGTTATGTAGCACTTTAAGTTCTACATGCATGTGAAATCAACTACAGTGATAAAACCTTTCAAAGGGTATCGAGTAACATAAAAGTTTAATAGATCTAATCCGTTAAACACACAGACCAAATTCTAAATGTAAAATTACCCTGAATGATGGTTGGAAATCTGCTGGGGCACCACCCTTGTCACCACCAAAGTCACCCCCGCGTGGACCTCCACGGTACCCATCTCTGTCACCAAACCTTGGACGGTCCCCTTCAAAGCGAGGAGGACCCCTAAAATTGAGACAAGGAAAAGACTTCATTCACAACAAAAAACAAACTATAAGAGGAAAAGAAAATTTGAACAGATCAAGAGGAGGGGGCATCAAGCCCTCATAAGATGCATTACCGAGGGCGATCACCAGGTGGGCCACCTAGCCTACCAGGGGGCTTTGCAGATTTCTTTAGAGTAGCAGGCACAATTTCGGATGGAAGATTAAGGTAAGTTCTGAGAAACTCAATTCCGTCATTAGTAAGGTACCAATAGTAGTGCATCCAAGCAAAAGTCTCGCGGACATATTCCGTGGACTTGAAGCTCTGCATAAGTTTAATGACCTGCAAATTGGGCACATCGATCTCGGGATGTTTTGCAAGATTGTAATCCTTCTTTGCATAGCAAACTCCCTCTATAAAAATACGAACAATTTTCAATAAGAAACACAAAACAATCATATGCTGAGATCTCTGCTTCGAGATATAAAAATAAACATGGACAGAACTAAAAAAATCCAACTCTTTTAAATGCTTCAAAGCAGAATAAATATTAAATAAAAGCTCACTTTATTTTCCATAAAAAAGAACAAACATAGGACTAGTCACAATGAATCAAAATTAAGCTAAAGTTTATCAAGCAATCAAGCAATTAAGAAACGAAAAATGAGTAAAGCGGGTGAACAAATTACAAGAAAATTGAGAAAGTGAAGCACACCTTGAAAAAGGTATTTGGAGATTTCTCTACGGTTCTTCTCTGGAATAATCTGAGCAAAGAAACAAAGTGAAACTTCAATGGTGTAGATGCGAATATTATTAGTACATAAGTAAAAGGAAAGAGAGGTAGAAAAATAGGTACCATGGCTGCCAAGTGACGGAGCAAAGGCGCCGGCAGACCTTTTCTGTTTCTTCTTGCAGAAAGCAAAGAAGCAGCAGCAGCTTTGAAACCATAGCTAGAGAGAAATGGTGTTCATTTTATATTGAAATGCGGCTTCAGCTTGTGCCGTTTATGTGGATCTTCATCTAGGGCTAAGAAAAAAAATCGTCCCAGCCCATTTATAAAATATAAATTTAAAAATAGTTATTACAGTTAAATTTTGGGTAAAGTATAGTAATGGTCACTGAACATTTCTGAAGCTTGCATTTAGGTCCCCAACATTTAAAACTTGCAATACAGTCCCCCAACATTTATTCCATTTGCAATATGGTCCCCAACTTAAACCACAGTTAGAAAATTAGGATAAATTATATAAACGGTCATTGAACTTTTCAGTCACTTGAATTTAGGTCCCCCAACTTTTAAAACTTGCAAAACAGTCATCAATTTCATTCTAAACCCTAATTTCCAAAGTAATTCAATTTTATTCTAAACCCTAAATTCTAAAATACTTCAATTAAATTCTAAAATACTTCAATTTAAGGTAATATAGGCTTGAAGAAAGAGTTCAAGGCACAAACACAACGAATAAAAATATATTATATAAATGTATATATTTAGATGTATAAATAAAAAATATATTCATATATTAATGTATGAATCATTTATATTTTTGAATATTTTATTTTTAATAAGAAATTAAAATTATTAATTATATTAGAAATACTCAACTTAAGATTATATATAATCATGAATTATAAATATGAAAAATATAATTATTAAATTTAGTTTAAAAATATATAAATCTTAAATTTATTCTTTTAAAATATTGTATCAACTAATATTTAAAAAATATATTAAATCTATCAAACAATTTATCAAATATAATATTTTTTTATTGTAAAAAATATAATATTTTCCCATCATTTATTGCTTTCAAATTTTTTGCCGAAGTTCAAATCTCATTATTTCCATTTTACATTATATTCTTTTTTTTCTGGCATTGGTCATACTATTAGTATATGTATTATTGTATATCTCTTAACACAAATGATGGTGTTAGCTTAGTGGCTCCACCCTGTATCTTTCATTTGCGTGACTCAGGTTTGAGTTTGCCCAAGACCCAAATTTTACTTCTTTGTAACTTAATTTTCTTCTAATTAGGAGGTGACATGTGTCACCAATAACACATATCATGATCATGTGTTAACACATGTCAGATCCTGATTAAATGATTAATTTATTAAATTTTATTTAATTTAGGACCAAATTGATAGCATATATAAATAATTAGATGGTAACACGTGTCACCAATGACACGTGTCATGATCATGTGCTAACACATGTCAGATCCTAATTAAATGATTAATTTATTAAATTTTATTTAATTTAGGACCAAATTGATTATATAAATAATAAAGACTAAATGTATAATAATGCCAATTCCTTTTAACTGCCACATCATCATTTTTATCAATTGGTAACGACTAGTGGCTTAGTTGAAACAATTAAATAATTATGTGGTATGATTGATAAATTTAAAAGATCGATGACAAAAGTAAAAAGGGCTAGATAGTTAAGTTGTCAACCGAGTAGTTTACACTTTTATTTATACGTCAAAATAACATTTTATAAATTTAAAATTCGAATTATTTTCAACCTCTTCTATATCCTAACTACTTTTTTTAATTAAAAAATTTCTTCAACAGATAAGAATTATACTATTATATTTATATAAAAAATACGTATCACATGAAATAAGATGAAATTAAATAATAATAAATTTGACATAATTGAATTTAATTTAAGTATTTTGGAATTTAGGGTTTAGAATAAAATTGAATTACTTTGGAAATTGGGGTTTAGAATGAAATTGATGACTGTTTTGCAAGTTTTAAAAGTTGGGGACCTAAATTCAAGTGATTGAAAAGTTCAATGACCATTTATATATTTCATCCTAATTTTCTAACTGTGGTTTAAGTTGGGGGACCATATTGCAAACGGAATAAATGTTGGGGGACTGTATTGCAAGTTTTAAATATTGGGGGACCTAAATGCAAGCTTCAGAAATGTTCAGTGACCATTACTATACTTTACCCTTAAATTTTTTAAATTTTAATCATGATTATTAAAAAGTTAACCATATATATATATATTTAATGGGAAAAAGGAGTATTATTTTTTTATTGATCTTAGATAAGCACGAGGTAGTATTTGTTCAAATATAACTCTCACTATTTGACATTGAACGCTTACATCCCTAACATTCCTGATGTTCGAACGCGAGACTTCAAGGAACAACAACCCCTGAAATTGGACGCTCACACCCCTGACATTCCTTTACCACCGAGGTCGCTTGATTCGTGCGAATGAGTATTATTTTATTTGCATTAAATTAAACTTTTTTAAATAAAAATAAGATTTATATCTTTCAAATAATGAATAAATTAGAAATAATATATAAAAAGTTACCTTAAAAATTTATTATATAAAAATTATTTTTATTTATTCAGAAACAAATAAATTTTAAAAATATTTACTAAAAACTATAAAATTATGAAATGTAAAAAAATTAAAAACTAATTCACTTTATTAAAATATAAAAAAATTGAAATTAGAAATTAATATAGTTAAAAACTTAAAATATAGTACACGAAATATCCGGTGTACATACCTTTGGGGGCGACGAATACTTCATTCTACTTCTTGTAAGTTCTCCCGGCTTATGTGTTTTTATTTTTTAGTTATGAATGTCTTACTTTGATTAGACAAACACAAACACAGAGAACAAATTAAAATTGATTATGTATCATTTTATGTTGTGTAATTAACGAGACGAAGCAAGAAGAAGAATAAAAGAAAAACAAAAGATATATGAATTAGGAGAGATAAATATATTATCATTTAAATATGAGTTGCGTATAATGTTTTCTCTAACCTCTATATTTATAGACATAAGTGGAAGATGTTATATACAACTATAATATTAATGAATATTGGAAATTTAATCGAAATCATATCTTATAGATAAAGATAGACATCTTCATAAATAAATATTAACAACACTATCCATTGGATGTATATGAAGATAATGTGTCTCGTTAAAATATTACTAAAATAAAAACATCAAGGAAAATAAATTTAATGAAGGAAAAAGAGTACACGTCTTTAATATGCATAATATGTTGCATCATTAAAAATCTTTCAAGATCTTTGAATATTATAATTTCATTTTGAATACAATATTCAAATGTTGAAGTAGACAATAGATTAATGAATAAGTCTTTTCAAATTACCACTTGAACGGATTCATCTAATTTTTGTATTCCAATTCTTTTGAAGATCATGAGAGAAGAAACTTTAAAGAAATATGTTTCATTTGATGTATTCTCTTTTCAATTGAGATATAAATTTATCTTTGTACAAGATAGTTGACATCTTATCACGTGAAACCAAATCTCATATCTTTTGAATAAGTTGAGTCAATAATTTTATCTTAAATACTCTTTTTAAACAATCAAGATGCTTTTGAAACTCTTCAGGAATTCTATTTTAAAGCTCTTCAAGAGCTACTATTTAAAATATACAATAATTATCATAATTTGATCTTGATGGCTTTATAAAGACACTTGAGCAAGTAGACTTTCATTGATTCAGATTTACCATATACACTAACGACGATCCATTCTATCTAAATATTTAAGTAAATATATTTGTACAAAATTTTTAAAGAGTTTTCAAATGCTTCTGACATTTTAATGCTTCATAGATAAATTTCACTATATGTGGTTCCACAAATCATTAAATGCATTATAGAATTTTATATAATTGTTAGAGTAATAAAATAATTGCATCCACCATAAAGTAAAATTTTCATTATTCGAGTCATATTTTATATCTAAGACTACTCATTTATACCACACTTACATTACACCTTTAAATGTTTGGATTACTTGTCCATGTTTTGGAAGTTGATTTAACTTCACTTGAATACTGTCTTTCAATTTTGACCAATCATTTTCACATATATACTAATGGATAGATTTCAATTCAAGATCTTCATTTTTATCTCTTTATTTTTATAGAAATACTATTCGTAAAATTGTTGTCGACAACTTTTCTATTTTTATTTCATTATTTTCTCGTAATGACGTAACTTATCAAGATATCTTCATTATTCCATTTTCATTTTTCAGGCTATTGAACCAATATTTGATTTTGATATAATATTAATGACCAAATAATTTATACTGTTAAAATTTGCACTTTGTAATTCTAAGAAAATTTGTCTTAAAGGTTTTCAAGTGCTTCTTAATTGTGAAAAAATAACCTTAATTTTTTAAGTCATAATATAATTTAAAAATATCTTTCAAACCTAAAAAAAATATTCGATTTATCAAAATCCCTCTCCAATCTCTAAACAAGTTAGCCAATATTGATACATGTTTTCCAGTAAGCTTTTCTGGTATCGATACCAATAGGTGAGTATCGATACTCACTTGAACGGTATCGATATCGAGGGTTTCAACGGCTATAATTTTGACGGTTAGAATGCTTGGTCTCAATACCCACTACTCAGTATCGATACCAATGTTGTAGGTGAGCATTTAATGCTCAAATTAATAAATCCAACGGCTCGAAAAGGCTATAAGGGCGTTAGAAGATATAAAAGGGATCATGATTCAAATGGAGAATAATAAGAAAATAAATTGCAAGATCAAACCAACATCAAAAGAGTTTTTGAGCTAAATATTATCATATTCTTTGTAACACACTTGTGAGCTTCTTTGTTTATTTTGGTCAAGTGTGATATAGGTGAGTGTTTAAATTGTGTAACCTCATTTGCCTTTTATAAGGTTTTCTTTTGTTTGCTAAATTTATAATTCCTCTTGTGGAAGAGAATGTAAGCAAGGTTTGGGTATAAACTTTGTGTTTTGTTGTAAGGTTACACATTGTCCTCAAATGTTAGCATATCGTATGGATTTGAGAAATCCTTAGTGTGGATGCTAAGATAGTGGATGTAAAATTGGTTTAGAAGTTGAGCCACTCTAAAATCATTG